AAAAAAAAAAAAAAAAAAAATTGAGTATTTATTTTCTGTTCCAATACTTTCACCCACATTTTCCCCTTCCTTTTCTTCATTTCTAATGAATACCATCCTCTTTTTTTCTTTTGCTTTCTTTTCTTTTCTTTTCTTCTTCCTCCCTTCTTCTTCTTTAGAGTCTTCACACGACAACTTTCTCTACTAGTCCACCCGCAACAGTTTCCCCTTCCTGTTGGAGCACAAAACGCCCAAGTGCCCGACAAACATCCGCCGGCTCCAATGCAATTTTATTAGGCGCACTAAACAACACAACAGCCTGTGTTGCCTTTGGGACGCACTTCACCATTCCATTAGACCATGTTCCATCTCGATTCATCTTGGATACCAACTTTATTACTTTTACCTGTACAGTTAACGCATGTACCACCATTGTAAAGGTGGCTCCAGGTAGAATAGACTTTTGTAAGGTGATAAAAGTTTGTATACGAGCCAAAAAATCTGTAGAGGATTGAATTAAAGCATTACTGGAGCAACCCACACATCCGGGATATAATCCAATAGTGGAAGAAGAAGTATCTATCTCTACCGTATCACCTGCAAAGGCAACATCCACAAGACCTCCCATGGTAGGTTTATCAATACTTTTAACTAAAACTTTAACGTCTGAAGGTATAAAAACAAGTTTCGCCCCTTTTTGTAGTTTTCCACTTTCTACCTTACAGAATAAACGTGAACCGTCAACATCCATTAAACTAAGTCGAAGTGCCCCACTTAATAAACGACTTTCAAGAGGACATTGATCAAGTAATTGTATCAAGGATGGTCCATCATACCATGGGGTTGCAGTATGATCTATTTCACAAATATTCGTTCCCAGAATACCACTTACTGGACAAAAACCCACAACAGCATCCTCTTTATACCGCATGTGCTTTATTAAAAACCCTAACTCTTGTACAACATAATTATATCTTTCTTGACTAAAATCAACCGCATCCATTTTATTAATAGCTACAACTAAATGACCAACACCTAGTGTTTTTAGAACAAGAAGATGATCTCTTGTACCATGCGCAAGTCCAACTTCAAATTCTGATGTAGCAGCTGTGACTACAAGAAGTGCAGCATCCGCTTGAGTGGCACTACTTATCATATTAACAACATAATCTTTATGACCTGGAGCATCGAGAATATGAATACGTCTATGTTCTGTTTCAAAACAATAGGATCCAGAATCAATAGTAACACCACGTCTTCGTTCTTCTTCTGATTGATCTAATAACCATGCATATTTAAATGATTCTTTATTTAAGATTTTAGCATTTTTCTCATTCTTATCAACATCTGCCTGAGAAACTTTTCCTAATAATAATAAAAGATGACCAAGAGTTGTACTTTTTCCAGCGTCTACATGACCTGCAATAACAAAGGTACAATCTTTTTTAGTCATATCTGGCATAATCTCTTGAATAGAATTATTTTTCTTTAATGATTTTGAAGGTCCATCCGTTTTATTGTTATTTCCAGAATTTGACACTTCCACTGCCTTAAGATTATTATTCACTGACGTTGTTTTTGCATTCTCTGCATTTTTATTCATTTGTCCTAATTTCAGTGTACGCCCTCCACTCTTCAAAACAACATCAGATGTTTTTCCATCCACTAGTGCAGGAGGAGTTACTTCTACAGGCTTCACTACAGGCTGTGGTGTTGTTGAAAGAGAAAATGATTTATCATTTTCATTCATTTTTTTTAGTAGCATTATCGCAGCTCCCTCAACATCATACTCAGATTCACGAAGAGCCTCAATAGCAGAATTTTGACTGAGCTCTATTCCAATTTTCTTATCTGTAATAAGTTCATTCCATTTATTATTTAATTCTGGAAGTAATTGCGTTAACAAACAATAGTCAATATCATTTGTTTTCAATATACTCCCATTAGTTGATGAGATATCGGGTTTTATAGAAATATGCTGCTGTTGCTGCTGTTTCTCTTGACCTTTTTGTTGTTGTTGTTGTTCTTCCGGTGGTGGTGGTGGTGGTGGGTGAGCACCGGGCTTCACAATGTACTGCAGTTCATCCTCCTCGTAGTATTCATTCTCTTCTTCCTCATCGTAGTAGTCATCGTAATATTCTTCTTCTTCAATATCATCATCAAGAGCACTATAGAATTTCTTATGACGATTCATTCTCTTTGTTACTTCAAAAAAAAAAAAGAAGTCTAACTATTATTTTTCCTTCGTTTTTTTTTTTTTGTTTTTTCTGATTTGTTTTCACTCTCTCAGATGCATACAGTCTATATAGTCACCTAATTTACTTCAATTTCCCTATATTAACTTTATTTTCCTCTGTTACTGGAACAGACCCCGAAAATAAAAGTAAAAAACAATTATAAAGAAAATAAAGAAATAAAAGCGATCAGGCACTAGTAATACCAGGAATTGTCAGAGGAGAATAAATTAAAAAGAAACTCATGTTACCCTTTATTCCCGAGGGAATTACAGGGGAAAGGGGAATTATAAAGAAAAAGAAAAAAAAATATATATATATATATATTAGTACAAGAATATATAAAAATGAAGAACTTCAAAACAGATTTATTACATAACGTATATACACGTTGTTATGACTGTTTTTTCTTCTTCTTTTTTTTTTCTTTTCTCATTGGGATAGAGAAAAGGGTACATGTAAACACACATGTGAACCTAAGTCTAATTTCAGCAGGTGGCCCACTCAACGCAGCAACAACAATAACAAGAAAGAAAAAAAAAAAAAAAAAAGGAATATGCATTTCATCTCAAAATTGTATGTGGAAGATAAGGAGGAGATGAAGCCGCACTACTGCTATCACTGCCTATCTGAGATGGTGTAGGTGTTTGAAGAGCATTACGAGAAAACATGAGACCAGCCATAATATCATTTACACTTTCTTCTTCAAACGATCCACTTCGTGCTACATAATTCATAATAGTTATCGCCAACTCCACACAAAGACGAACAGCACCAATTCCAATCTTTTCGGCAATCAATTGATTATTTTCCAGCACCGCAAGCATCTTTACAATACGCCCCAGCAATGGATCAAAGATAATATTATACACCCTGGAATGTGAGGTGGATGGGCTTGTGATAATCAGCCACGTAAAGAGTGCACGGGCCTCAAGAAAGAAGGGAAACTGTTCCATGCCAATATATGAAAGAGACACGAAAAACATGAGAATTAACCAAAGCTTCAGTGAACTCAGCGGGAAGGAAATACTCTTACCGTTAGCCCGTGCTGTTTCCTCCGCCGCATACATGGTTCCAAATGCAGCATAAAGAAGACCCAAATTAAAAATGGCCGATGTAATAATCCAACGAAATAGGAAAAAGAGCATGTGAAGGCTAAATATTAAAGATGCTGTGATAATAATAATAATAATAATAATAATATATTTCTATGTTTTCAGTGTAATGTAATGCGCACCCTATTAGTAGATTTACTTCCTTGTGTATATTTGTTTGTTTTTTTTTTTTTTTTGGAGTTTACCAGTACACCAGCCAAAACAACAACAAGAACAAGTACAAAAAAAAACACAATAACTATATACGCCTAGAAAATATAAAAAAAAAAAAAAGGGTGAATTTTGACCACAGGCAAAGAAGAAAAAAAAAATAAAGAAGAAAAAAAAAACAATTTAAAATTATCAGTAGATCACACGCTGAAAATGGATTCCTCTTTATTTAATGAAAAAATTCACGCAAATATGTGCAGTGTTTATTTTCTTTTTTTTTTTTTCGTCTTGCATTATTACGACTACAACGTCGAAATGTAATATCTTTTTTTTTTTTTCATTTCTTTTTTTTTGTTATGTATCCTTTTTTTTTTCCTTTTTTAGTTTTCTTGCGAGACTCCATTTAAAAAAGAGTGAGAGAGTGAGAGATTGAGGGAAAGAGAGTACAACAGAAACTCCTACTTTCAATATATATATATATATATTTAGAGAAGGAGGGGAAAAGAGAGGGCATGCCCATAGCCAAATCAATGTCCTCTTCTTTTTTTTTTCCTTACATGTCTCGCTCACCTTCCCCTCTCACGTCACTCTTTATTTTGCCCACTGTTTTTTTTTTTTATTTTTTTTTTTCGTATTTGTGCTGATCACGTTATCTATCATATTGCCTTTTCGCTTTTCTATCGACTGTCTCTTTCTTTTCGTTTTGTTTTGTTTTTTATTTTTATTTTCTTTCTCCTCGTTTTCATCCGTTTCTTTTTTTATTCCTCGATTTAGTTATTCATATATTTTTTCTCGCCCATTATTACCTCTGGTCTATCAATAAGCAAAGTGCAAGATGCAGGTTGCCGCCGCAGTATACATTGGTAAAAGAGGAGAACAACACACATACACACACACACAAAAAAAAAAAAAAAAATGGATGCAAAAAAAGAAGAGAAAGAGTGTGAAAGAGAGCACAAAGAAAAACAAAAAAACAACAAGAAACAAATGGGGAAAAAAAAAACAGCAGTAAAGCAATTAACTATTCTTCTTTTTCTTTTCCTCATTCTTTTTTTTGTCGTTATTTGCATACTATCTCTTCTTTTTTTTTTCTGCCTTGTCGCTGAAACCTTCTGTTTGCTGCTGCTACTACTACTACTACTACTATTACTGCTGCGGCTGACACTGAAGGGGAAATGAACCAAGAGAAATGTGATTTTTTTTTTCGTATTTTCAGTCCACCAAATTTCTCACACTGTTTCTTTTTATCAGAAACTTATCTTGTCAGTGAGATTATACGTCCACGTTTCTCTACGAATACGAGCACATGTACGCAGCTTTATATAGATAAGGGTGGTATATTCCATTAGAAATTAACTCAGCTCCTTCCCCATCATCTTATAACCCACTTGCCCCTCTTTTTTTTTTTTTTCTTTTCATTTCTGCAGCGCCGGTGATAAAGAGAGTGTTGTGTAATACAGAAATAAGATTCCGTTAAAGTATGAAGAAGAAACAAGAACATATTGACCCTTGCTCGATCATCCGAATCCCCCTTCTTTACTTCACGCACACTGTCAACTCTTTCCAACGGGTTAGTCATCTCTCATCTGCGTTTTTACCCTCTTTCTCCAGTTTAACAATATAATAACAGAGCAGTTAAGTAGCTATTCGCCGATCACAAAATTAATCATGAACAGAAACTTAGAAACACCAAATAACACCAGCAGAAGTAGCAGTAGCAGCAAAACAGGAGTATAAATAGGGTGGATAAAGATGAAAAAGAAAGAAATTATGAAAAATAAAAAAATGGACCAATGACAGACGTTCACCCTCGTATAGACGTCTCCAGGGAAGGTGAACTACACCCCTACCCAACTCCTTTCATTTCTTTTTTTTTAAACTTTTTTCACCCGCACCACCATGCACGACAAACCACACACAAATAGAAACGCACACTCACTCTCTCCCTTTTCAATAATAAAAAAAAAACACTGCTAAAGGGTACTTTTCACTTTGTTTATATGTTCCTTTTTCTTTCCCTGCATTTCTTTATTTATTCTCCGCAATGTATGCCATAGAGAAAAAAAAAAAAAGAAACGGAAGTAGAGAACGTGTAAACAGGGAGAGAGCGAGCTGGCAAGCCACGAGGTGTGTTCAGGGTACCAGAGAAGAAATGGAAAATAAGGGAGACAAAGAAAAGGAAAACAAAAAAGAGCATCAAACGTATAGTTTTCTTATTCCTTCTTTTTCTCACCGCCTCCACACGACAACAGATTCGGCACTCTCAACAACATCCATTTGTCGTGTAATTACCTCCGGTCTAATGTCTGTTTTTTTTTTTTTTTTGTTTTTATTGCGGCTTTCTCTTTTTTTTTGTTTGTGTTTTGAATACATCTCTTTATCCCCCTCCTCCCTTTTCCCGACTGCTAAATATATTTTTTTTGTTAAATAGATGTATATATATATATATATATATATATATATATATACTTTTTTTTTTCAATTTCTTCTTATTTTTTTTTTCTTAAACAACCATATATATATATTTTTTTTTTAGCATCATCATTTTTTTTCCTGTTTCTGTAGTAGCTTAATTACCTATATTTTTTTTTTTTATAATAATAATCCTCCAGCTACACTTTTCACGCCTTATTTTTTTTTTTTTTTTCCTTTTCCCCTTTTGCCCTTTCACTCTTATTCCTCTCTGTCTCCTTACACTCGTTCCCTCACCCACTCACCCACACGCACGCATATAAGAGAAAGGACGGAGAGGGCCAGATGGTGATAGCACGCCTACACATTCATGTGGCGGTTCAGCACATCGAGGGCCTCCTGCACCTTTGTGTCCAACAACGCGGGGTTGTCTAGCAGGTTGAGGATTTCGCTGTTGTCCATCTCGAGCAGCATACCTGTCACCTTTGCCGCCACTGAGGGGTTTACGCGGACGATATAGTTGTACAGGCGCTCGCCCAGCACATTCTTCTGCTGCTCTGGAGTGAGATTTGCGAGGACGGTGGAGAGGTTCTGTCCCTGTGGAGCCGGTGGTTGTGGCTGCGGGGCTGCCATCATCTGCTGCATCGGCACACGCTGTGGGGCGGGTCGTGCCCGCACTTGATTCATCGGCGTTGGGCCGAGTGGTCGGATGGGGGCGCCCATGCCCATCGTCGCTGGCATCATCGGCATGCGGGGGTTCACAAAGGGGACGCCGTTGAACATCGTCTGCGGGCCCATAAAGCCGAGCTGCGGGCCCATCATGCCGCCCATCAAACCACCCATCGGCGGCTGACGCATGCGGGGCTGTTTGTTGCGGATGTCCTCCAGCGTCTGGCGGCGGGCGTCCTTGCGGAGAGCGTAGGTGACAAACAGCGGGCGTGGACCGAGGACGGTGCTGCCGTGCAGTTCCTGGATCGCACGAGCCGCAGAACTCTGCTCCTTGAAAGATACAAAACCGAAACACCGAGACAGCTTGGTGGCCTTGTCCATCATGACACTTACGGAAACGGTCTCACCAAACCGCTCAAATACCTCCTTAAGACGGCTGCTGGTAACAGTGTCATCAAAGTTTTTGACGTAGAGGTTAGGGTACTTGCTGTGTTGTTGCTGACGCTCGCGGCGCAGACGTTCACGCTCGCGCTGGCGCTCTTCACGAGAGCGGAAGCGGCAAACACTCAGCTTAAGACCCTCCTTCGCCAGTGGACTTTCCTTTTCATCCAATTCCTCCACAGCCTTGGCGGCAGCCTCATGAGTGGCATATGCGACGTAGGCAAATCCCACTGTCTGGCTTGGACCAAGATTACGCACCTTAGCGGAGGTTACCTCACCAAAAGCGGAGAATGTCTCCTTAAGCTTTTCATCATCCACAGAGGGATCAAGGTTCTTGACATAGAGATTTGTGTATTGCTTTAACTGTTCTTCACGATGGTGGGGTTGATAACGCTCCACTGTAATAACACAATCATCAATAGTCATTCCATTGACCTCCTGTACAGCTTCCACTGCAGATTCCTCCTTTTCAAATGAAATACGTGCATAACCACGAGATTCACCGTTCTCATTTGTAGCGAGACCAATAGCAGTGAGACGACCGAACTTTGAGAACATCTCCTTCAGGGCATAGGTATCCACAGCTGGTGGTAACTTCTTCACTACGATGTTGGTCACCCCACTGCGGCGTTTGGACGGATCACGTTGAATCTTTGCAATGCGGATGTGCTTTGATCCCAGCTTCACACCAGCTTGGTCCAACGCCTTTTCAGCATCAGCAGGGTTTTGGAAGTTCACATACCCATAGCCAAGTGACTTTTGTGTGGCGGAGTCAACACAAACACGCACAGAGGCCACTGGTCCGACACGTACAAAGTGGTCATAGAGTTTTTGCTCATTGAGGTTAGGGTCCAGGCCGCCGACCCAAATGGAGGGACTCGCAGCAGGAAAAGTCGACATTTTTTGTAGTTATTCTGCTTTTCTTTTCTTTGGTATATGTGCGTTAATCGCTTTCTTCGTTCTGTCACTGAATGTATGTATGTTTCTACCCTTTCAATTTCTACCCTCCTTTTTTTTCGGTGACGATTAGTGGTGCTTTTTTTTTTTTTTTTTTTTTTTTTTTACGAGTGTTTTGGGATCTTTATTTTGTAATACAAGAACAACAACAAAAAAAAAAAGAAAGGATTAAGAGGCAAATTTGAATGCGAATTGCAAGATGTGTTCAAGAAAGCAAGAAAACAGGAATAAAAATAGAAAAACTTCGAAAATCAGAGAGAAAACTTTGCCATCAAAAGAAAAAAAAAGAAAAGATTATGTTTGTAATCCAAGAGAGAAAGTGAGATGGTGTGAATAGAACTCATATGTTACGTATATCACACGTATCCCCACATTACAAACATACAAACACGGATACATTAACACAAACATATACACGCGAGAAGAGAACAATAAAATAAGAACGAGCACACTACACAGAGAGACATTAATATATATATATATATATATATATATATATATATTATATATTATATATATATATTATTCTTACGGACATATATGTATATAAAGGAAGAGAGAACCATATAATTAGATTGAAAAAGTGTGTGCGATATAATTTGCTACTGCTTCTTACTAGGTGTAAGTCACACCACGCAAAAAAACATGAAAGCAAAAGAAGAAAAGGTAAAAGAAAATTTTTTTCTTTCATTCCTTATTCGTATAAGTGTATTTGCTCTGTTGTTATTGTTATTATTGTTCTTGTTCTTGTTTCTCTTTTTTTTTTTCGTAATTGTTTCTCTTTAGCGCTTTCTTTCTTTTTCCCTCTTCTCTCTCTTTTTCTCTTGTATAGATGAGGAAAGTCCACACATATACGGTATTTTTTTTTTTTTGTTTTGTTTGTTTGCCTGTAACAATACAGTAACATACACCTATATACATAAAGAGAAAATATTAGGGGCAAAGAAGCACAGAGGAATAAATTCAAAGAATAATGGTGTATTTGCAGGTGTACACGTAAATATCGTACATATAAAAATATATACACGTCCGTATGTGTGTATGCATTTTTTTTTTTTCTTTCTTTATTTCTTTCCTTTCCTTTCCTTTCCTCATGATGATGTGCAGATGGTTGTGAACGAACACATGAAGAAAAAGGTATCATTGTTAGCGTTGAAAATAAGAATAACAAAACAGAAGGAAAAAAAATATATAAAAAAAAAGGAAAAAAAAAACGTGAAAATTGAGAAAGGACACAGAATTTTTTTTTTTTTTTGGAGGGTAATAAAGGAAAGAAAGAGGAAATGAGTGAGAGAAAAACAGGTCCAAATACATCCATTCCTACACAGAGAGAGAATTCTAACACGCACAACACAAAAAAAAGGAGAGTGGGGGAAAAAAAATAAAGGAAATAAAAGGTCTAAACCCTCCTTTTCCTTGTAGTATACCCCTTTCCCCCTTCCCCCCACCATCACCATTAGCCATAAAGTAAGGAAGTTAGAAAAAAGAAAAACCAAAAAAAGAAAAAAAAAACGGCAAACGGCAACTTCTTCTCCCTCTCTTCCTTTACATCATATGGCAATGTCAACGTCAGAAAGGGAAATAACAGTGCGATCATACCTCTCACATTCCAACCCCACTCTTCCGTTTGTTTTTTCTTATTATTATTTTCCCATATTCTTTGCTCCTTCAGAGTGTGTGTATCTATCTACTTTCTCTTCACCATTTCTCCTCTTCTTAATTTTACACCCAATACTCTCTTTTACCACACAAATCACAAGAAGATTAACATGGATCATGCGTCACCTGCTGCTCTTTAGTAGCAAAAAGCGATGAACAAACACCTGTACCTTTTTAACATTCACGTGGTTTTGCCTATTTCCTCGACACATCTTCTCGCTTTATCTTATTTTTTTTCTTCTGTTTTTCTTTTTTTTTTTTTGCTTCTTTATTATATGTATATATATATACATATACGTATAATTTTTTTAATACTATTTTCTTTATTGTGTTCTCGTCTTTTCTTTCGCTCCTTTTCCTCTATCTGTACAGTTTTTTTTTTTTTTTTTTGTTTACGTCTCTTTTTTTCTCCTTTTGTTTTCCCTCTTTGCTTTCATCATTCTTACACTTCCCTGCATGGCTTATCTCACAGCGTACCGTTTATCCACCCGATATTGCGACTTCTGTTTCCAGTTGTTCAGCTTGGGCCTGAAGAATGAGAAAGCTCCATAACAGGGGAAAAGTTAGTTGCTATACAAAACAACATACCTACACTGCAGAATTCCAGTGCGAACTCACTCCTCCGGCACCGGCGCAGATTCGGATTGGTCATACTGTAATTTCTTTGGAGACCAGCGATCTGATTGTTCACCGCCGCTTACCTCAACATATGGTGCTGTCTCCGTTCTGCAGTTTAACCGGCGTGAGGAGACTGTCTCTGGTGAAGCCCCACGAGAGAGCTCTCCAAATGATGGAGTACTACAGACACGGCGTCGTTGAACTTTCTCACCTTCTCCTTTAGGGGGCATACCATTTCTTTGATGTATATGTGATCCTGTATAAGGTCCCGCTCCGTTTGTTTGTCGAGTATTACCGTAAGAAGAAGTACCAGCCACAGAAATGGTAGGTCGTGACCGCGTAAGTGATGGTCGAGCCGCTACCCCATTTGCCGTACTTCGCTGCTTTACCCTCGTAGCACGGGTAGGAGTATTAATAGTAGTAGCAGAAGGAATAGTAGTATCTGAAGTATGATGTTTATCATTATTAGGAGTAGGAGCGTAACCATTCGTCTTCCTTACAGGTGTATCTGGTTTTTTTAAACTTCCTGTAGAACCAGTTCGACGCACCCTTCCAGTTCTAGATGCTGTGCGTCGGCGTGAGGAGGGAAGAGGTGTTGTCGCTTCAGTTGCTGCACGACGACTGCCTGTTGGATGGGCGTCCGTTCCACTACGTGTCACACTAGAGCCAGAGCGTCGTGCTGGAGGACGAAATGTAATGCCTTTACTTTGACAGACCTTCTCATGTTCTTCAGCGAGGCGGTCGTTTTCTTCTCGCATGCGTGCCCAGAACTCCTCCGCTTCTTTTGGATTCGTTGGCGGCGGACCGTACATGCGGCGTTGGAGAGTGGTCATCACAGGTCTATCAGCAAACAACTGGGAACTTCGCAGTGGCCCCGTTGTTGTGTTGTGCCCTGCCGTGTTGGTGATGCTCTCGCTGCGCCCTCCTGCTGTGTCGTGTCCCTGCGCTACACTGTTGCCATTGCGAGCAGCCCCGCAGAACTTTGATCGCTCCCCGTTGGGGCGACGATTCGGCGTGCTGCTTATGTCTCTTCGCAAGACCGGCGTTGGGCGGCGGTCAGGAGTAGAAGGACGCGACATCAATAATGTTTTTCAGTTAATTAATAGTGTTGCTAACCGTAGTAGTAGTATTTGTGGAGGTAGTGGTGTGTGTGTTTTATCGTTCTTGTTGTTGTTTTCTTGTTCGTTTTTTTTTTGGTATTGGTGGCAATAGCTCTGGTGGCAGCAAGATAATAGTCCTGCTCTACCCTACTCTTTCCGTAGACTCTGGACACCGGATACTATTTACTTGGCACAATTAATAATAATATTAATAAGAGAGAGAGAGAGAGAAACATATTTTGAAAAAGCGTAAAAAAAAAAAAAAAAAACGGTCAGGTAAACGATTATATTAAATTATAAGTATGGGAAAAGGCAAAAAGAAAAAGAATATAATAATTAAAAACACTACTATTTTTCTTATTCCAACCGCTCATCAATCATTTAAAGCAAAAAGAGAAAAAAAAAAAAGAAAAAGAAAAACGAACGCGATAGAACTTAGGCGCCCCACGCTGCTAGTCGAACAGCCAAATTACACAATTGTGGCATGCTCCACGCCGCACACACCTCTTCAAGTGAACGAAACGCCCAGAGAGACTTCTCATCACCAGTTTTGCCATTTGTGTTGTCATTAAGGTGTGATGAGAGAGTCTCTTCCTGTTGTTGTTGTTGCTGTTGCAAGAGCAGTACGAAGTACATCCGCCCCCCATCCATTTCACTATCACTTCGAACAACGTGGAAGATAGATCCACCATTTGTGAAGCGCATTCGCCGCTCTGTTGATCCTGCCACCTGAAAGACTACAGTCTGTAGAAACATCATTTCTTGTTTAGCCCGCAGTGTGGGCTCCGTGGAGAGACGCGAGCGTGGAAACACAAAGTTCAGCACCCAATGCTCCATACCCTGCCGCGCGGCCACGTTATCTGCACTGCTGAGCAAAGTGTACTTATTGCCGCGCCACGCACGTCTGCCCGGCCGCTGCGTGCAGTCAGTGATAACACACAACGTCGCCCCGCAGTGTCCATGGGTGGCGTCCCACAGTGACTCTGCGAGAGAGCGACAACCGCAGGCGTACAGAAACGACCGTTCGTCAGCGTCCGCATTGTTATTATTGTTATTATTATTATTATTGCTATCGCTGTAGTTGAAGTAATATGGTGGTTGTGACGACAATGGCGCAGCACTAATAGTAGTAGTAGTAGTAGTAGTAGTAGTAGTAGTAACAATAGTAGTAGTACTATTATTGGGACGTGAGGTATCACCACCGCGCGATTCGTCCAATAATACGGCACCGCGTGGAAGAGAAAGAAAGCAGTTAGAGAAGAGAAGTGATAATCGCCCATACAAACACCGAAGAAGACACTGTAGTACACAAAGAAAACGACAGTGTGTAGGAAACACCATGCGTGTCTGTGCAAGATCCTGTAAAATCTCATCCATATAATAACAGACATCAGCGAGATCAGCAGATGTATTTAATTCAGACTGAGAGCTGTATGTACATTTAGCAAAAGGTGTTTTAACAAGTAATCCCATTTGATCCCATACAGAATATAACTTTTTCATCTCCTTCTCTGCAGAATGTGCTGTATGCATGTAGCGTACAACCACCATCACATCAACATAGAAAGCAGAATTTTCAAAAATCTCAGCTATACACTCTAATAAAATTGCTTGAACACCAAGAGTACGTTGTAAAACAAATAAAAAATAACTTAATTTGGGTGCTTCTCCAGAATGAAGTGTAAAAAGTGTCCGCTGAGCATCCTCGTGAGCTTTATGAATCCAGTGAATAACATCAGGACACCGTACCTGTGACCAGTGTACAGCAAACATATGTGGTGGTACTTCACAAGGTGATGTTAATGGATATGTAGGACCAAAGAGAAGTGACCACAGTGCACGAAACCTGGCTAAATTATTACAGTAAACAAAAGCTGCAGCAATATTCTCACTATTCAAAAACCCATCGGCAAGTTCCAAGGAATCTTCAAGTACTTTCCAAGCAGCTAGACTACTCTGAAGTGCTGCTTCAAAAATATCATCACGTTGATCTAGTGATTTCTTAAGAAATAATAATGCTGATACCGCCTTCTCCACTTCAACAGGAAGTGAATAACTATGAGGTATATTATTATTATTATCATCACGATTACGATAATGATTATGAGGATGTTGTATCCCCATACAACTTAATATGGCGTCTTGTGTTACAGCAATGACTCCCTCATCTGATAGGCCTTTTAGTATACTTAAGTGAATACTCTCATCATCCATTCCCAACTAAAAACAAATACACAGTTAACTTGTGAAGAGAAATCAAACCAAGAGAAAAAAAAAAAAAAAAAAAAACATAATAGCTTCAGTTCATTTACAGAATCACCTGTTTAAGTACAGTTATTTCATAATATATTGTCAACCATTTTGGTTAAATACACCAAAAATCACTTTTTATCATATTTTATTTGTACTCACTTAATTACTCGTCTTTTCTTTTGGAAATACTTGTGGATCGAGTGTTTCTAAGTGTTTCAAATACCTCCTTAGCCCATGGATGTTGAATTTTTTCTCCTGAAAGAAAAAAAGAGCTTAAATCTTTTTCAGGGTGGGCCTTCTCATATGCGTGTGCTTGTGTTACCATCTCCAAAAGATCAATATCTTTTAAAAACTTCGCTTCAGGTGAACTTTGCATCTCATACTCTTCCCAAAGCTCTTGTAGTTCACCTGAAAGGGGAATACGCTTATCAAGTAACCCACTAAGAGTCGACACGGCCGCTTTTTCAGAACGGTATTTTTCCTCTTTCGGTACACCCATAGCGGGTGATATATCACCAACAATACTTTCACCCATATCATGACAGAGAGCCATGCGAATAAGTTTATCTCTGTTAAGATTTGGATCGGGACACATCATACACATAACTGCTGCACGGTACATGTGATCTGAAACGGATTCTGGTTTGTGAATACCTTTTTCCACCCATCCAGTGCGGTCCGTCTCTTTTAACTTTCCAATAGTATGAAGGAACTCAATAGTGTTTGCTGGCATTGTGTTAAACAGTGGATTTCACACAAAGATCCACACTAAAATCACTCTCTCAGATAAATAAAGACACTCACACGCAAAAACTGTACTAATATATACAAAACCAAGCAAAAGAAACAAAGAAAACACAACAATAACACAACACACCTCTTCAACATTCAAGTTATTCATACACAGTCAGTCCAACTCCATACATTCTAACTAATAATGTAAAAGGTAATATTACCCTCTCAACCTTAAGAGGAAAACGATAGTAAAAACTCAAAAATAAAATAAAATATATATATATATATA